AACTCCCAGAATTCTGGGAGTTGAAGTCCACCCGTCTTCAACTTGCCAAGGTTGAGGAACCCTGGTCTACAGCATATGTGACCCATACAGCATATGGGTCCAGAAAGGCCCCACTGTTTCTACTGATGCATAGACAATCAGATGAAATAGCAGTGACTAATGCCATTATACTGCAGTGCAGATCTGGTTGGTCCATTTACAGCAGAAGGGGGGGGGGGGGGACACAGGACAAATGACAAAAGCAAGATCACACCTTAACCTCTACCTTTTTCTACTTGTACCGTGACACTGCACGCATGTACAAAAAGGGTGGAGTTTGCATTGCAACTGCAGGATGCTATTGTCATCACTGTGTCACACCTTAAGCACTTCTCCTTTTATACTGCATAGTAAGATTGTGCTCACCCAATGTATGCACATAGTAAGAGGTACAAAAGGGGCACAGCCTGAATGTCAATGGCATGATGCTTGTAAGGAAATTATTGTAAGGCAAACTTCCCATCCTGCAGTTGCTTCTTATGGCAAGATCTCCTAACCTCAAGGCTGAAGACAAGAATCGCCATAAAAGTGTGCCAAAACCTCTTTCCAAAAATGCTTCTATGCTAGAATTCTTATGGAATGTTCTGTGGTAGTATCTTTCCGCTAACTTTGTTGTTCAGGGCTGTGAAAGGAGCTGGTATTTCTTTTTTTAGCTTTTCTTCCCCCCCCCCTCCTGTTACACATTTATTAACATCCCTTTGGAGGCTCCTTGGCTGCCCATCCTTCCTGATGTGAAGAAGCTTCTTGGGAAGAGTTCCCGCTCCAGCTCAACTCTTGGGATTTTTTATGGAAATGTGGTGAAACCAGAGAGGCTGCTGGAGAAAAGGTTTCACAGTAAAATACAGGGCGTTCAGACATTCCTCCTGGTCCTTTTCTTACTTAATATCTGCAAGAATGCCATAGTCCAATTGTGAGAATTTCTCCAAAATCATCTTCTCCTTTGAAAGAAAAGTTGAGGGCAAATCCTTCTTACATTGAACCAAATGAGACAGGTAGCAAACACGACAGAGCACTAGCAGTAGTAACTAATCACCCAACTTTTGAAACATCCACAGCCTTGGGACGATGAACAAATCTGGGTTTTGGGTAGGGGGGAGGAAAAACACTTTTGGTGTAAAACAAAAAACAAAAACCCAAGGGATGGGTCAAGATCATTTTAGTTTCTTGCTGTCCAAAAGAGCTTAGTCAGACATTTCAACCTTAGCAGCAGGTCAGATATATTGTTTCTTTTTCCTAGAGGGGGAAAAATATTTTGTCTCTGGGAAAGAGAGAGGAATATTTATTTAACTAGGTCGTTGGTTGTTGGGGTGGGGGGTGTATGTTTGCTTCTCCTCAATCTGGATTCCATTCAGTCAGTTACCACTCCAATTAACTAACAATTATTTAACATTAACAGTAATTACAGATGCCAGTTAAGCGCCTACAGATGTCAACTGTTAGCTTTTGTACCTAATCACTCAATGAAATGGAGAAAGTTCAACAAACATCAATTAGCCAAGCAATTAGTCGGAGCTAGAAAAGTGCATGTTATCATGTGTGAGCTGATTCGATTTATTTTATTTTGGCAGTAAAAGGCACATTGGCTGACAAGCCGCCCTACACGACTGCGATAAGATAAAACTGGGCTGTTAGGGCTGTTTGCACAAGGGCAAGCTTTTCCTTTGCCTGCAGGGTAGAAATGACATGACCTGCTGAAGGTATTT